TTATTGTATCTTCCATAGAGGAGTATAAGGAGAATCACACAGCACTTAGTGTTGTAAATATTTCTTAAGTTGGCCAAAAATTTACAATTACTTTGGGGAAACATCTAACGGAATAAAATGTGAATTACTCACCCTTTACAATAGGTTGGGGGTAAAGAAAACAATTGCTGGGTACACTAACACTTTAGGTTACTTCATTAAAAGGTAAAGGAAAGAAAATAACATTAGGTAAACTAATTGTTCAAATATTTACCAAGTACCTAATCAGTAAGCAAACTGTGCCAAATACAATGAAGTACAAAAATGATTAAGACATGATTTGTGCCCTTGAAAAGCTAGGGGCAATTAGATAGTATGTACATAAATAATTAAAATATAAGTCAGAGGGGGAGATGAACCATGAGAGACTATGGACTCTGAGAAACAAACTGAGGGTTCTAGAGGGGAGGGGAGGTGGGGGGATGGGTTAGACTGGTGATGGGTATTAAAGAGGGCACGTTCTGCATGGAGCACTGGGTGTTATGCACAAACAATGAATCATGGAACACTACATCAAAAAGTAACGATGTAATGTATGGTGATTAACATAATGAAATAAAATTTTAAAAAATCAAAATTAGCTAAGGAGAAAAAGAAAAAAAAATATAAGTCAACCAGTACTACATGAAAGGCACACAAGAAGATAGGAGTTTATATAAGAAAGATTACTTCTGGGGCGCCTGGGTGGCTCAGTTGGTTAAGCGACTGCCTTCGGCTCAGGTCATGATCCTGGAGTCCCTGGATCAAGTCCCGCATCGGGTTCCCTGCTCGGCAGGGAGTCTGCTTCTCCCTCTGACCCTCCCCCCTCTCATGTGCTCTCTCTCATTCTCTCTCTCTCTCTCAAATAAATAAATAAAATCTTTTAAAAAAAAAAAAAGAATGATTACTTCTGGAATTAAGGAAGTGTCCGTTAAAGAGGTGATACTTCAGCATCAGCAGACGTCAAAATGAGCTAAAACCCAGAAGAGACAAGGACTCTGGTAAACAGTATTCCAAGGAAAGGGAACTGAGCAAAGGGCAAGTCCACAAAATCCCAGACACCTAAGCTGTTTACAAACCATGTATCACTTAAAGATGAAGATACTTGAGGTTTAGGAAAAGTAGGCAAACTTGCTTAACATCACACAACTACTAGGACCGATATCCCAATTTGACTTTGGATGTGGGAAAATGCAGTCAGAGAGAAGGCTAAAAAACAGATTCTAGGGTGCTGAATGCCACCTTAAGGCATTCACGACTATGCTACAGGAGGAACAAGGGACCATGGAAAATGTCTAAGGGACCTAACACCATCTGAATAACCACAGAAGGATTAATCTAACAGTGTAAAGCAGAGGTTCTTCAAGTGTGGTATCAGGACCAACAGCATCAGCATCACCTAGGAACTTCAGCTAGAAAGGCAAATTAAATTCTCAGATCCACTCCAGACCTACTAAATTAGGAAACTGGGATGTTGGGCACAATGGCCTATCTTATCATCCCTCCAGCTGATTATGATACATGTTCAAGTCTGAGAACCCCTGGTCTAGAAAAGAAAGATTTTACATAATAGAATCCACCAGAGCTTTAAATGAACTGTCAAACCAAAGTCAACTATGATAAAGAGAAATAGAAACAATAGGAGAAAGCTGGAGTGGGACTCTATGGAAAGAAGATACTCAGTCTGGGGGCGCCTGGGTGGCTCAGTCGTTAAGCGTCTGCCTTCGGCTCAGGTCATGGTCCCAGGGTCCTGGGATTGAGTCCCACATCAGGCTCCCTGCTCCATGGGCCTGCTTCTCCCTCTCCCACTCCCCCTGCTTGTGTTCCCTCTCTTGCTGTCTCTCTGTCAAATAAATAAATAAAATCTTTAAAAAAAAAAAAGAAGATACTCAGTCTGGAACATGTGATATTGGGGAAGACTGTAAGATACTCCAGAGAAGACACCAGCAGGCAGCTGAAAATTCAGGAAAAGCTCAGAAGGAATTACTCTGCACAGAGGCAATAGATATCTATATCCTACATAGAAAAAGTAGAGGGCACCTGGGTGGCTCAGTTGTTAAGCACCTGCCTTTGGCTCAGGTCACGATCCCATGGTCCTGGGATCGAGTCCCTGCTCGGCGGGAAGCCTGCTTCGCTCTCTCCCACTCCCCCTGCTTGTGTTCCCTCTCTTGCTGTGTCTCTCTCTGTCAAATAAATAAAATCTTAAAAAAAAAAGTAGAGGAAAGAGAGCTGTCAACACAAAACTGGGAATACCTGCATTTAGGGTAAACAAAGAACCACAGGAAGCGAGGGAAGAAAAGTATTACAGAACTACAATTGTATTTTTTTAAAAAAAGGATATGAATAAATACCACCACTACCACCATACACACACACAAAAAAGACCAACAGACACAAAAAATTAAACACTTGACATTAGGTATGCTTGCTTCTAAGTAATCCTCATCTTAAAAAGAAAATTAGTACTGCTGGGGCGCCTGGGTGGCTCAGTAGGTTAAGAGTCCAACTCACGATTTCAGCTCAGGTCATGATGTCATGGGTCGTAGGACTGAGCCCTGTGTGGGCTCTCAAATAAATAAATAAAATCTTTATAAAAAATAAATAAATAAATAAATTCACCTTCATCTTTGCACTGTCACTTCCTCCTGGAAGCCTTTCACGGTACCCTAGGTTGAGGTGATTTTTCCTTGCCCTGATCATTTTATCTGTGCTACTCTTATAATTATTTTTTACTGTAACACAGTAGCCGCCCCATCCGTGGTTTTAGTTACCCGCGGTCAACCACAATCCCCTCCGGAAGCAGATGATCTTCCTTCTGACTTATCATCAGGTCAATAGTAGCCTAATACTTCATCACAATGCCCATGTCATTCATCTCATTTTATTTCATCACATAGGCATTTTCTCAACAACATCACAAGAAGGGTGAGTACAGTGAGAGATTTTGACAGCAAGAGACCACAATCAGATAGCTTTTATTATGATATATTATTATAATCACTGCTTTATTATTAGCCTCTTACGTGTCTAATTTACAAATTAAGCTTTACCGCAGTTATGTATAGGAAAAAACATAATATAGAGTTCAGTACTATCCATGGTTTCGGACATCCACTGGGGATTCTCAGCCATATTCCCTACAAATAAGGGGGGTGGGGATATGTACCATACTATATACACAAGAAGTCAAGGCTGGGAGGGTGTCTTATCTAAACTTGCACACCATGATATGTGGTACCTACCAGACCCTACATAAATGGAAGGTAAACTAAGTACTATTTTATCTTCTTAGAGGTAAGCTTCTCAGGTGTAAGACCTACCCTACATGTGATTAATCTCTCACTATGCACAATTCCCTTATATAAAAACCATCCCACCTTCAGGTGTTAGTTCTAAACATCCTAAGTATCTCTGTAAAACTGCTCTTAGCACATGTAACTGTACCTATTAGTTTACATCAGTCTCTTCAAACTATACATGGGCTCCTTGAAGGCAAGTACCATGTCACATAAATCTTCGTACTAACCAGCTACCACCTCTAGATTCCAATGTTTTGCTGAAAAAACTGAACTCATCATAGCATTTTTTGGAAAGCTGACACATTTTACATTATTTGGTCAACTGTAGTTACAACAGGCTATTCAATTCGTTATCAGGAAAAGAAAACAAGTTTTCTCTTATCAGGTACACTGCAAAACTATTTTTACATTTTGTCTTATTTTTTGGCCTAGGAAAAAAACTTCACCAATAGGTTTTGATCACGTGCTCTCTTTGGGTGACTGGAGGAAAACAGGGGAAAATCAACGTGAGAAATCTACACTGAGGAGGCCGTAACAAGATATCGTTCAAAAGATTCACATCACCTGGTTACATCTGGAAGCCACTGTGCAGTTAGGCTAGGCCACTCCAGAGCATGGGTCATCACCAAATCGTAAAGAAAAGGGGTATTCTTTTTCCATATTTTGTACTCTTCGTTGATCACACGTTCTTCTACTGCGTCATCAAAGGCTGCTAAAAAGTTAAAAACAAATTAAGTTAGCGAACACAAATGGAAACCGAGTCAACACGTCCTAAGCTACCGGCCCTGCTCGAGTCCAGATTCCGAAATGGAGGAGATACGTGTAAATCTCCCCCCCGCGGAGGTACCAACACCCCTCTCCACCCGCGCGGGCCCGCAATTACTCTCGGGCTAGCCAGGCCCGTCACTCCGTTAGCCGTTCGGGCGACGGCGCCGGGCCTCACGAGCACGCTCCCGTTCGCGCTGAGTCTACAGAACCGGCGCGGAGGCCCGCACACCGGCCCCTGGGGTGGGGAACGGCGTAGGCAGAACCGGGAGAGGCGGACGGACCGACAGGGAGCGCGGGGCGACACCAAATAGCGGCCGGGGCCCCCCCACCAGCTCCACGCCGCGGCGACAGGCCTCCGCGCCGGAGGAACTGGCGCGCCGTTAGCCCGCCCCGCGGGGCGATTTCTCCTCACGCCTTCGATGGTGGGGACAGCACTCAAGAGTCGGGCTTGTCTTCACTGCTAGGCCCTGTCGAGGCCGCGGCGCCAGCCCGGCACCCCCCGCCCTCCTCGGGCGGCCCCAGCACCCTCACCTTCCTTGTCGGCCATGGCGGGCAAGCAAGCCGGGGGGATCCCGGGGTCGAGCGTTGCGGGAGGGGCGGGGAGGCTACGGGCGCTCGCTCTGCGCGCGCGGCCTCTATTGTTTCCTGCTGCCCCTGCGTGAGGTCCGACTCGAGCACCTTCGCGCCAACACTGGCCAATCGGAGCGCCCCGAATGGTAGGGTGGGCGGGGAAGCCGCGTTCGCAGCCTATCCAGACACGCAGAGTCGCTTTCTGCGGGTCCGAGGCGCGCGCCCCTCCCCTGCCCCCACACGGCCCGGAGCCGACTTCCTTCGATTGCGCGCGCGCGGAGCCGGTGGGAGTGCGACCGCCGGGTCACGTGAGAGGTTTAGTCCGCACTCTCCAGGGGGCAGCCATTTTCTTAAAGGCCGTTCAGCTGCCGACACTGTCAAAATACTCAGATGAGAAATATAGGATGCTTTCGGGTCTAGTTAACAACTCTGGGAGTGAGGCGGAAAGAAAAGGCTTCCAACCACTCAGACATAGGGGTGTCTAGTTCAAGTGTCTCCCTACTCCTAGGTCCTCCAGTTTCTTTTTTCTTATTTCTTAGAACGGATGAAGTAAACGCAGAAAATAGGGTCTAAGCCTATTAAAGATGTGCTCCCAGCGGCAGGCCCTAGGACAGAAATCTTAGGGTATAAAGTACATCGGCGAGAATGGAGTCCTGGTTCTTTAAGGGGGCGTGCCAATGGGGGCGGAGTCTAGAGCGGAAGTTGTAAATCAGATCCGAAGTCCGGCTAATGAAGGGCGGAAGTAGAGTGTTTAGTGCTGCAATCATGGCGCAGGAAGAGGAAGATATTCGAGATTACAATTTGACTGAAGAGCAGAAGGCGAGAAAGGCCAAGTATCCTCCAGCCATTCGGAAGTACGAGTGTGAGTAGGTGGCTCACTTCTCTCATGCTCTCTCTCCTTTCCCAGGTCTTCCGGCCTAGCTTTCCGCTTTACCCCGTAAGGTGCTTCAGGCTTGATCCCGTTTCGCCCTGTATTGTAGGTCCCTGTCTGGGGGATGCTAAAGGAAAAAGCCACCTGGTCTGAGAGTCGGGAAACTGGGCTGCCACATTTACAGTCTCTTGAACTCTTTCTACATTTACCTAGTCACATTACCTTGTGGGAATTTTACCGGTGTATTCATTCTAAAGATAACCATATTTTCAAGCGTTTGCCGGGTTGTCGCCCGTATGTATCTCCCAACAGTGGGGTGGTTAGAGTGTGGTTACGTTAGAGGACTTAGAAAGCTGAGTAGGGGGGCACCTGGATGGCTCAGATGGTTAAGCATCTGCCTTCGGCTCAGGTCATGATCCCAGCGTCCTGGGATCGAGTCCCGCATCGGGCTCCCTGCTCTTTGGGAGCCTGCTTCTCCCTCTGCCTCTCTCTCTCTCTCTCTCTGTCTCTCATGAATAAATAAATAAAATCTTAAAAAAAAAAAAGGAAAGTTGAGTAGGGAACTGCTAACTTGGTGATTGACCTGGATCGTGTTTTTAGTAAAAAGACCTGGTTTTGCCATGAACAGCTTTGTTAACTTAAGGCAAATCAGATAACCTCTCTTTGCACCTTAGTTCCTTCATCTGAGGAGTAAATGAGATAATACACCTGAAAGCATAGTGCAGATTCTGATCTTCTATATAAACGTTTAGTTATACTCCCTAAAGGTTGCTATGGTTTGGGGAGCACAAATCTGACTTTTATTTTTCTACTTTAAAATCTCATTAATTTGGGGCGCCTGAGTGGCTCAGTCGTTAAGCGTCTGCCTTTGGCTCAGGCATGATCCCAGAGTTCTGGGATCGAGCCCCTCATCGGGCTCCCTGCTCGGCGGGAAGCCTGCTTCTCCCTCTCCTACTCTCCCTGCTTGTGTTCCCTCTTTCCCTGTGTCTATGTTAAATAAATAAATAAAATCTTTAAAAAAAAATAAAATCTCATTAATTTTCTTTTGTCCTCTGTAGAGTTTATTTACCATGGCATACTGGGTTCTGAACCCACATATCTCCCTTGCTCATTTTTCTCTTAAACAGTTTTTTAAAAGATTTTATTTATTTGAGAGTGAGAGAGAGTGCGCCCGCTTGCGATCACGAGCGGGGAGGAGGAGGGACAGAGGGAGAGGGAGAAGCGGACTCCCCACTGAGCCGGGATCCCTACTGGGGCTCCATCCGAGGACTCCGAGATCATGACCTGAGCCAGAGGCAGCCACTCAACCGACTGAGCCACCCAGGCGTCCCTTAAAAACAGTTTTCAATAAGTCTTGTATCGGGGCGCCTGGGTGGCTCAGTCGGTTAAGCGGCTGCCTTTAGCTCAGGTCATGATTCCAGAGTGCTGGGATTGAGCACCGCATCGGAATCCTTGCTCTGCGGGGAGCCTGCTTCTCCCTCTCCCTCTGCCTCCCTGCCGCTCCCCCTGCTTGTGCTCTCTCTCTCTCTGTATCAAATAAAATCTTAAAAAAAAAAAAATAAGTCTTGTATCTGATTCAAAAAGTACAACAGGTATACAGTGTGAAAGTCTTTCTCTTAGCCCTGATTCCCGACCATCTAGTCTTACTCTCCAGGTCAACATCAACAGTCCTTACCATTTTCTCATGTATACATGCAAAGATGTTCTAACATTTATTTTATTTAACCAATTTCCAGTTGATAGACATTTATGTTATTTCTAGTCTTTTGTTATTAGAAACAATGCAGCAGTAAATATACTTGTGCATCTATTGTTTTGTACATGTGCAAGTATATCTGTGAATTTCCAGAAGTTATGCTGCTCTGTCAAAGGATATGTATATTTTTAATTTTAACAGTTATTGCTAAATTGATCTCCAGTGAGGTTATGCCAATTTATACTCTCACTAGCATTGTATGAGCGTGCCTCTTTCCTCACACTTCTACCCATTTATTGCATAACCATACTTTTTGGTCTTTTCTAATTTAAATATCTTGTCATATTAATTACATTTTTTCTTATTATAAGTGAAGTTGAACATATTTCTGTATGTGTGGAGCTATTTGTTATGTCCCTTTCTGGGATGTGTACATTCATATTCTTACCCATTTTTCTATTGGGTTGTTTTTGTTTGTTTTACTCTAGAAATTTATTTTTATGTAGTGAAATTTATTAACTTTTTATGGCTTCTGGGAAGTCGTACTTTTTTTTTTTTTTTAAGATTTTATTTATTTATTCATGAGAGACACAGAGAGAGAGGCAGAGGGAGAAGCAGGCTCCCAAGGAGCAGGGAGCCCAATGTGGGGCTCGATCCCAGGACCCTGGGATCATGTCCTGAGCCGAAGGCAGACGCTTAACCATCTGAGCCACCCAGGCGCCCTGGGAAGTCGTACTTAAGAAGGCTTTGCCCACTCTGAGATTGTAAAATAACTCTCCTGTGTTTTCTTCTAGTACATTTGGAAATGAAAAAAAAAATTTTTTTTTAAAGATTTTATTTATTTATTTGAGAGAGAGAATGAGAGACAGAGAGCATGAGAAGGAGAAGGGTTAGAGGGAGAAGCAGACTCCCTGCTGAGCAGGGAGCCCGATGCGGGACTCGATCCCGGGACTCCAGGATCATGGCCTGAGCCGAAGGCAGTCGCTTAACCAACTGAGCCACCTAGGCGCCCCTGAAAATTTTTTTTTTTAAGTAAGCTCTACACCCAATGTGGGGCTTGAACTTACCACCTTGAGATCAAGAGTTGCATGCTCTATGAACTGAGCCAGGCAGGCGCGCTTGGAAATAAACTTTTATTGAAGTATAATACATGTACCAAAGAGTGCATATATCATAAGTGAATGTTCACAAACTGAATACACCTGTATAACTGACCAGATAGATAAACAATATTACAGCATCCCAGCAGCCCATCTCATGCTCCTTTCCAATCACCACCATTCTCCCTGCTCCCATTAGCCTGACTTTTTTTTAAGATTTTATTTTTAAGTAATTTCTACACCCAACGTGGGGCTTGAACTCATAACCCCCAGATTAAGCCTCTCACACTCCACCAGCTGAGCCAGCCAGAACCCCCCCCCAAAATTAGCCTGACTTTTAACATCATAGATTAGCTTTGCCTGTTTTTGTGCATTCTATAAATGGAATTATACAGTATGCCTTTTGTCTTTCTAACTTTCTTTTCTTTTCTTTTTTTAAAGATTTTTTATTTATTTATTTGATAGAGAGAGAGCACAAGTAGGCAGAGTGGTAGACAGAGGGAGAAGGAGAAGCAGGCTCCCCGCCAAGCAGGGAGCCCGATGCGGGGCTCGATCCCAGCACCCTGGGATCATGACCTGAGCCAAAGGCAGACGCTTAACGACTGAGCCACCCAGGCGCTCTCTAACTTTCTTTTTTTAATTTTAAGTAGGCTCCATACCCAGCGTGGGGCTCGAACTCACAACCCAGAGATCAAGCGTCACATGCTCTACTGACTGAGCCAGCCAGGCACGCCCAGTATGTCTTCCTTTTGTGTTTGGCTTTTTCTTGCTCATATTTGTGAGAACCATATTTTTGCTAATAGTTATAGATTGTTCTTGTTTCTAGTTTTTTTTTGTTTTTTTTTTTTAACATTTTAATTTTCAATACATCAGAATTAGAGTAAGGTAGAAATTAAGTATCTGATTTAATTATTTTCCAGGTGACTTACCAGATGTTCTGACTTCATTTCTTCAGCAGTCTGTCTTTTTCCCTGTGATTGAAATGGGACATCTTTCTCATATACAGAATTCCCCTACCTATATTTAGGTCTGTAGCTGGACTTAACTATTCTGTTCCTTTGTTCTGTCTCTTTTTATGTGCCAGTGCTGTAGTTTTAATTATTGAGGCTTTATTCTATCTTTTAATATCTTGTAGGACACTCTCCCCTCACTATTTGCCCTTTTCCTGCCATTCTTTTTTATTTTGGCGGGGGGCGGGGGCAGAAGAAGAGAATCTTAAGCTCTTAAGCAGGCTCCACGCCCCGTGCAGAGCCCAACGTGGGGCTCGATCTCACAACCTGAGATCATGACCTGAGCTGAAATTAAGACAGGGACGCTTAACCAGCTGAACCACCTAGGCACTTTCTTGCCACCCCCTTTCTTGCCATTCTTGCTTTTTTTTCTGTATATAGATAAATATAGACAAAACTAATGGCTTCCATGTATACATCACTCAGCTTCGGCAATGAAGAACTTGAGCTTACATAGCATCTTGACAGGAGCAGTAATTTTGTAGACAAATGACAAGACAACAGAAAAGCACTTTGTATTTGTGGGGCAGCCAATCGTGGGAAGATAAATATATGGGGGAACTAATGGAAGATGAGGGCTAGCTAGGAAACTTTATTATGTTGATTCCTCTGGTGCTGATTCTGGGTGGATAGGGGTCTAGAGTTTTCTCTGATGATTAATTTCCTTGCTGATAGGCAATGGGGAGCACCTTTACAAAATTATGTTTTAGGCATATAGTGGGGAAAGCAGAGTTTTTCTTGTATCTTCTCTCATTAGTCTTCAGCTCAAAATAATCTTTATGCCAGCGTGGCATATATTTGGCTACCTTTTCACCTCCTTTCCTATTTATTTATTTACTTATTTCTTTTTTTTTTTAAAGATTTTATTTATTTGAGAGAGAGAATGAGAGACAGCACAAGAGGGAAGAGGGTCAGAGGGAGAAGCAGACCCCCTGCTCAGCAGGGAGCCCGATGCGGGACTCGATCCAGGGACTCCAGGATCATGACCTGAGCCGAAGGCAGTCGCTTAACCAACTGAGCCACCCAGGCGCCCTATTTACTTATTTCTAAGTAGGCTCTGTGCTGAGCCCCACATTGGGTGTAGAGATTACTTAAATAAAAACTTAAAAAAAAAAACCCACAGATTAAAAAATTACTATTGGTATTTTTTCATTCATATTAATTATGAATTTAGGGAGAATTAAA